TTAATCCTTCTGTTTTAAAAATGAAGGCTTTATGAAATTAATAAAAAATATGTCTAGGGAGAAGCTAAAAAATCTTCAACAATAGGTAGAAAAATTTGGAATTTAAAGTTTTAACAGTCAAACTGATTGACTTACACAATTTGATTCTTAGCTATTTACACCTTTTTTTTTTTTTTTTTGCTACTTTTAGACAGTAATTTGCTTTGTTGGGCTGTTTAAAAAACTTTGTTCTGATGGGAAGGTATATTCACTCTGGGTATAAATTTGTGTCACTTTAGGGATCTTTTCAAAAAACGATTTACAGAGCCCATTATTTTCTCTGAAGTAAAATACTTATTGTAGAAGGAGGCTTTTATGGTGCCTGTTGGGACTGCCAGAGAAGATGGAGAATTATTGACACTAATGATAGACTCACTAGCCTTTAACCTGTCAAAGAATGCCCAGAGGGAAAGATGGCTGGCGGTGACTACTTCATCTCTGAGGCACTGTCAGGTAGCTCAGAATTTACTTTGACCTATGTTGTGAAATTGTTATTACAGGAGTAGAGAAATAGGGATAAATGCTTTTTTATGAGGAAAATTCCACCGAAAAAAAGGTGTTGTGTTTTATAGTTAACCCTGTATATAACATTAACATATATTAAGAAATAAACATGAGTTCTATTTTCTAGATTGTTGTGTTGTTGTTGTTGTTATGTGCTGTCGAATCGGACCCGACTCATAGCGACCCCTCCTTGGGTTGCCGAGGCAGTATCACTATGGATGTAGATTGCCCAACCTTCCTTCCGAGGAGTGGCTGGTGGGTTTGAACCACGGCCTATTGTTGGATTTAAGACTATTTGTACTCTTAAATATTGTGAGGACCCAAAAGTTTATGTGGGTTACATATATTGATATTTACTATATTAAAACTGAAAATTTAAAAGAAATTATATATTCATTTCAAATAACAATGAACACATGACATATAAGTATCAATAATTTACTTTTATGAAAAATATATACATTTTTAAATTAGAATAATGACATTATTTTACATGTTTGCAAATCTCTTTAATGCCTTGCTTAAATGAACACTAGCTTCTCATCTGCTTCTGCATTCAATCAATTTACAAAATGTTGGTTTGGTTGATATTTCAATATGAAGAAAATCTGCTCTCATATGGATATGTAGTTGGAAAAGGGAAGAGCACTTTAATGCCCTTTCAGAATCTTGTGAATATTCTTTGATATTATACCAAAATTTAACAAGTGGTTGTTTCTTACAGGTCAGTTGTAATGTGGAATCTGAAACCATATAGATGAACATTTTCATATTCTGTGTATTAGTCTCCCTTGAACTTTTAATGGATCTTTTATCCATGTCTGATATTGTAATACAATACATTGGTATTTTGGAAAATATTGGCTTACTGAGATTTACAGATCTTCCACATGTTAAAACATATCATTATATAATGTCAGACTTACATTTGGTAACATCACCACTGTTCTCATTTGAAATATCTTTTAAGTACTGGGAAACTTAAAAGTTCATAATAGCAATACACATTTTCCTAAATTCTGATTTTTTTTGAAAGCTTGAATATTATCGTTGGGCACAAATGCTGTCAGTTGTTTTCTTTGAAAAGATAAGCTCATTTTATTCATTTTTGAGAAAATATCTGCCAGAACCCACTTCTGAGTAATCATAGTTTGTCTGTTAGTCCTTTCAAGTAAAAGTAGGAGTTTGATGAAAAAGATGGCTAATTCAGCTTACAACTCAATGGTGGCACAAACGCTTTCCTTCAAGATAGTCATTGTTCATGTTGTTTTCTGTGTATTTCCCATTTAATCACAAAAAATATTAAAGTGATGTGTACTTAAGGATTGAGATTTAATAAAATTAATAATTTTTACTGCTTTATCAAGGACATACTTGAGTGAAACTGGATGGCTTTTTTTTTTTTTTTTTTGCCAGCAATGCATGAAGGTAAAGGATACAGTGACTCCTAGTGCAGCCACTGCCTTGATTCATGCTAAGGCATGGGCATTGTTATCCACATCAGTGCAAATATTAACACAATTGTTGCAGCATAATCTTGAGATTCAAAAAAGTTATTCAATACTTGGAGTATTTCTGCACTTGCATTTTGTTGACAACCATTCACATAAAAGAATATAAGATCTTCTTTGATGATTTATTGTGCTGAGAGTGGACAAACACAAGCAAAACAGCAAATCCATCAATTTCTGGAGATTCATCCATTTGCAAGGCAAGAGTATGAGTCTTCAGCTGAGATATCAAGTCAATCTTCATGTTGTAACTAGATCTTTAACAGGAAAATGGCAGTGCTTTGATTTCTTGGATTTCTTGACATTCCATCCAGTAGGCATCGACAGTGTCAACTGTGTAATTGCCACTCAGCTAATGTGTGTGTTTTTTCAGCCAAGGCAGCATGATAACTAACCCTGTAATGTGTCTCAGTGACTTTTTCATTTTTACTTTGAAAAGATGTAAACAATGTTTGGTTTTTGAATATGTCATAAGGCTATGTTTCAAATAATCAGTTCTTTTTTCTTTGTATTCCATTCCCAGTGATTGGTGTCAAAATGACAACACGAATTAACTTGCAGCATATATATTATTCAAACTTGTTCTGTTGCATAAGACACAATAAAATAAATTATTAACATCTATAATGATGAGGGAAAGATGGCTTTAATCCTATTTCCCTTTCTTACTTATCATATCATCCACTTTCTTTAGAGTAGATTCTTTCCTTCCATGAGTCAGGAGACTCTAATAAGTCAATTTTTTTTCTCCCAGTATTTTAAAACATAGACAGTACAGCTGTACAATGAGAATGCAAATCTTCTAATCTCCCTTTTGTAAGTCAATGATTCATCCTTAAATTAAGAAAAAGTGTTTTGTAAATAATCTTCCTTTTAGAATGAAATAATATATTAAATCCAAAATGTTTCAATTAAAATTACAATTTGATGTCTGTCTTGAGCTTTTTTATGTATTATGTGGGATTAAATTGACAATGGCAACTGAAAGATTAGATAGAAAACCGTTCCTGTAGGGGACTAGTTCAGAAAAGGAGAGTGCAAATGGTTGCACAATGAAGAATGTGATCAATGTCACTGAATTGTGCATGTACAAATTGTTGAATGGGTGTGTGTTCAGCTGTGAATAGTCTCAAAAAAATTTAAAAAAAAATTAAATTAAAATTTGTTTTTAGTTTGAAATTTAAAAAATGTTATTATGAAGCAAATCATGAAAAGTTACTTAGTCCTTTTGTGTTTCTGTGTAGGTTGCATGGGAAACTTTGGTATTCAAAATAAGGATTTATTGAACAATAATGAGGTTACAAAGATTATAGCAGGAATAGCTAAAGACATACGTAAGAGCACATTGGAAGTAGTGAGAACAAACTCAGTTAATCTCTCAAAGCTACCTCTTCGTACCGTAAACCTCTACTTTAGAACTCGAACACACCAGAATACACAAGCACACATTCCATTAGCTGCCAGAGTGATGATGTCTTCACACAGCCTGTGTAGCCTCTGGAACACTCCAATGTACACTGAAGAGAGGTTATAAAAACAGTTTTGAACTGGAGGACCAACTGTAAGAGTCTTTATGATTCCCTCCGGTCCCCAGACCACATTTTAGGAACTGCTGTTCCAGATGGTTGAATTGACTGTCAGAGTGTTTTAAAATTTACCTCTGAAAATCACTGTGCATTCTGTATATTTCGTCATCCTGAAGGACGTGTGACAATTCCTTGTCAAGATCCTCCTCATCCAGGTCTTATTCTGTAACTTGTCATAAAGGTAACTCTGGTATGTCATCATGTCAATAAGGGCAAGTGTAAGAAAGCAGAAAAACGAGTGGGCACTTTTATTTCATGAACATAAGTAGATTCATTCATTCATTTTTAGAGAAGTATGCAGTCTTGGTTCAAGGCTAGGTTTTACTGGAGTAGGACTATGTCCCTCATTCCTTGATCTGGTTTATGGCTGGAAAGAATTGAGATTCTGATAAAATGGTCAAAGTGTCTCCATGCAGTGTGTTGCTGACCATGCCTAACTGAGGAAACTTGTCTACAGTGTCACAGGTGTAAAGGTCACAGCTTTCTCCCTTTTAGCAGTGATAACATTGACATCATTCTACTTTGTCCTAGATATCACTGAGAGTCGGAATCTAACAACAACAATAATTCTTTGAGACACAAAGACTAAACCCTGTCTTGCCTATGAGGGCCTTCACCACGGCTGGGACAGAGGTGCCCAGAACCAGTAGCTTTTGCTACTGCTGTTATTCTTCATTGCAGTGTAAAGAATGTGAGGAGGTCGGCTGTGGGCTGTGGATGGGATGCCAGCCCAAATCTCTCACCTGTGCCTGTGCCTTTGTGCCTCCCTAGAGTGTGTGTTTCTGTCCCATTTTCATCCAATTAGGACACCATATATATCAACAATTGCTATCCAAAAGCTCTCTCAGGATCAAGTTTAATGTGATAATTAGTTATGATTAAATTACCCATTAAATAAAAGATTAGGGAGTTGTTTAATTATGAATTGCCTTGTGCTTTATTTCTCTGATTGCAAGATGCACATTTTAACATCTCTGAAATAAGAATCAAAGGTGTATCAATTTAATTGGTAGGATTTTCTATTTTTTGTGAAATAACAATTTTTGTTTTAGTTTTGAAATGTTGTCTTCAAATATGCTTGTCTTGATATAAGTACGAATGCCTGTTTCATGAGGAAGAAAACATATTTCATTCTTTGAAATGATTTTCCTTTAAACAAAGAAATAAGACTCTAGCAATAATTTGTGTATAAATATGTATTTTCTAAAATGTGTACTTCCACAGTAAGTACTTCATAGCAGGTAGGAAAATTCACATTAACTTACACTCTTTTAAGTTATTAAAAATATAGCTTTTCTTTTTGTCCTCTTTGCTTGTTTTTCAAATGCTGATTTTCAGTATTTATTTCTGTTTGTGACAGGTTTATTTTAGGACGGTGGAACTTATAGAAGAGCCTATAGAAGGGTCTCCTGGTAGGAGTTTCTACTTCAAAATTAATGGATTGCCCATATTTCTGAAAGGCTCAAACTGGATTCCAGCAGATTCATTCCAGGATCGAGTAACCTCTGATTTGTAAGTTATCATCTTTCATTTTTTTAAAATTAATAGTGCCACCAAGCTTAAGAGTTACTCATTTTGGTATTGAAGAAAGAAGTCCAGATAGATCTTGGCTGAAAGCAAAGAATGTGTGGATTATAACAAATTATGGATAACATTGTAAAGAATGGGAATTCCAGAATGCTTAATTATGCTTATGAGGAATCTGTACATAGACAAAGAGATGGTCATTTGAACAGAACAAGGGGATACTGCATGGTTTACAGTCAGGAAAGGTGTACATTAAGGATGTATCCTTTTACCATATTTACTCAATCTGTATGATAAGCAGATAATCTGAGAAAATGGACTATATGAAGACAAACACGTCATCAGGATCGAAGGAAGGCTCATTAACAGCCTGAGGTTGTTGTTGTTAGGTGCCGTAGAGTTGTTTCCGACTCATAGCGACCCCGTGCACAGCAGAACGAAACACTGCCCGATCCCCTGCCAGCTCCATGATCCCTGCTATACTTGAGCCCATCATCCCAGCCACTGTGTCAATCCATCTCATTGAAGGCCTCCCCCGCTTTCGTCGATCCTCCATCCTACCAAGCATGACATCCTTCTCCAAGGAATGGTCCCTTCTGACAACATG